GATATATTCTAGTCTTTCATATACTTTACATTTAGTTTAGCAGCACCCTAAAATAATATCAGAACTGGATATTGCAACAATGCTAGAAAACAGGGCTATTTGCAGTGTTTTCATGCTCTGGGTAGTTCTTGGGGGGGGTGACCACATATATATATATATAAATATATACATACAAGAACAATACTCGTCGCGATCCTTGCTGCCATCCTATTTGTTGCCTTTTCTAATACTGAGCTTACTAACCTGTTGCATCTGTAACAGGTATTGTCAAATCTGTTTAACCTTGCAGTCCGCCGTTTACCTCTTAACGCAATACAAGCCCAAAAACAGCTCCTCAGAAGCATCCAAGCCCTCCTAGCTCGCAACACTCCATTTTCTCTGCCTGCGCTGCCGTGCATCTAGGCATGCAATGGGGCGGGCTGCCAGGGTGGCTCCTTCCGAAGACTTTCGTTTCTAGGGTTACTTGACGCTTGTTCGGAGTAGAGGATGGAATGACTTACCGTGGGTTACTATCGGGACTACTTGGCATTCCATCACTCCCATGAACAAGGGGCTAGAAGGCTGCCAGCGTTGTTGCTCCAGCATTTAGGTGTTCCACGCAGAGCTTGTAGTCGTTTTAAAGCTGTTGGAGATGGTTTGGGATTGTATTCTTCGTAGTAGTAGTTGTAGTAGTAGTAGTAGTAGGAGTAGGAGTAGGAGTAGTAGGAGTAGTAGGAGTAGTAGTAGCAGTAGTAGTAGTAGTAGTCGTGGTGGTGGTGGTGGTGGTGGTAATAGGAATCTAATGTAGGCTCTGTGAGGATTGTAAGGGGACTGTCTGACAGGCTCTGCCTGCTGTTTTAAGCAATCCAGCTACTGTTTGGGCAATCCTACGCATCAAAACTTATGCCTACTCCAAAACGCCGAGCCCCCGACCGAACTAAACTCTAAGCCTGGAAAAACATACAAACCTGCCAAACATCCGCTAACTTAGAACATTTGTGTGTGCTGCGTGTTTTGAAGTTGCAGGTCTGATGCAATGCTTTTCAAACCCCATCCAATCTTGCGCGACTCCTGGAGCATTGCAAGAACTATGCTTCCGGAAGGGGTGACCAACATCCTAAATTAGGTCCTTACTACAAGGATAACTTGGAATTAATGTAGAGACCCATGATTAATGAACCCCCTCCTTTTAAGGGCCTCAATATTAGGATCCCTATTATAATCCCTATTTAGGGAAGGGGGTTCATTAATCACGGGTCTATATTATAATTTCACATTTGTACTAGGTGGCGGTATATCAGAAAAAAGAAAAAATCGGTACTCTGATCCCCAAAACCCCGTCCCCCGACCCTAATCCCCAGACTGGACCTTGTCTGTACTCCCTATACTCTTCAACATCTAAGCCCCGATTTCGAAGTCCTAATCCCTAGGCGCTAAGGGTCTAGGGTTGCTCAAACCCGAATTCCCACACCCTAAACCTTTGAAATAGGCAGCCTCTTTTCCGGAGTCCCCACGGCTTCGCCTTTGCAAGTTGACATACGGGATTAGGGTTCAGGGCATGAGGTACATGAGGCCGCTGTTCAAGTCCAACAACTTGGAACATGGAATGGTAGAGTCCCCATCAAGTAGATTTAACATGGCTTTTGGCATATGATAATAACATCCCCATCTACCCCATATTCTATCTACTTAAGGGGGGCTATAGGAATTGGAAGGGGATTGTGGATTTTGGCTGCCATGGCTCAGGAAGGCAAGAAAGTAGGAGAGACACGCTATAGCATAGGTAGTATATAAGGCTGATGAGTGGAATTTGCAGTCAAGGACAAACGTTGGAAAATCAAAGTAGACTGACTTAACTATGCTACTTCTTCCTCATACCAAGTCTTGTCTTACTGGTTCTTACTAGGGAATAACGGAATATAATCCTCATATAATGAGTTCCCATATTCCCTACTAAGTTGTGGTAGGGGGATACTGAGGTTCCAAGGTTGCTTCAGCTGTAGAATTTTACGCAGGCTGGGACGCTGTTACTAAGAGAAAGCTAGGAAGGGTTTGCCTACTGCGTGGTTTTGGGAAGCGCAAGGCAGATGCCCTGAAGGTTCATGGTTTTGGAACGGAACAGTACTCGGGATTGAAGTTCAGGGCGTAAGGAGATGTAGCATTGGCTCCAGAGGGCAGGAGGATATAGCAGGGATGATGCAAAGAAATTTCTTTCAGGAACCCTCTGACCACACCACGTGTTGCCTGGCGGGTACCTTGCATGCCTTTACATGTGCTGATATCCTTTCTGCATATCTGAGAGACTAAACGGCGTTCTCTGTCCCAGTCAACAATAGGGTAATGCAATGAAAATGAAGCTTTGAGTACCGTAAAATTCGGATAACGCTAAAGCCACACTTCAAACGCACGAGAGGAGTCAGGGTTTTCCGATTAAATTCAGTAACCATAACCCCAAAAAATTTGGAGAGCCTGTCGCAAGCACACCTCCATCTGTTTGGTACCTGCTAGCTCAGAAGTAGAGAAAAACAGTTCCTAAATACTTCCGTATCCCCCCCTATAACCTCTATCACCCCTATATATGTAACCTCAAATGGCAACCTTTTCGAAAAGACAATCTGTTGTGATCTTTTTGTGTCTGCCAGAATGTTGATGCAATCAACTTGAAGCTTACGGTCTAGGGCCTATGTGAGGTTTAGGGTTTATGCCAGAACAACTCTAAACCCTTTTGGAAGCAGTGGGTTGTCCCAACTAGAAGAAAGCAAGTACTAGTAATGGTGTAGCTACTTTCCATGTCAAGAGTGCTTCGAATAACGAACCCTAAACCCTAAACCCTTAGCCCAAAACCCAAAATCCTAAACCCATGCCGTCATTCCTGAAGCCCAAGATCGAGGAGAGAGATCACTGAGCACATGGCTGCTGACGTTTTTCCTTCAGATTTCGAAGGAATTGGTCAGATGCTCGAGTCCACTGGTACTGCCTCAGAAGTCAGGGAGCCCAATACCCCTTAAATCATATTAGGGGCCCTAGTACCATTTAGGGTATGTTCCTTGATTAAGGGGTATTGGGCTCTGTGGGAAGTCAAGGCAGAACAAGCATGTTGTGGATGTGTAGGACATCCAACATCTGAAGCTAGTGCAAGTTGGTGACAGAGATTTAGGGTTCAGGTCAGGACCCCTCCCGGTAATAGTGGTATAATTGGAATGTAATAGGACCCTAAATAAACAAATGAACCTCAGTATCCCTCATAGTCACTATTACAGGAGGGGAGTCCACCTAAGGTTTAAGGCTTTACTTTGGGAAGTCTGACAATCTTCCAATTCCCTGCAGAGACCCTTCATGGAGTCGTGGGGAAGATGAAGCATTTCTCAAGATCTGGTCGGCGACCGTGTAAGTCACTTCACATTACACTTAGACTTGGAGAAACGCCCCAAACAGAAGGCTAACAATAAATCATGTTTTGCTTGTAAACCTGAGATCCAAGCGATTCACACTAAACGTGGGCGTGCCTGTCAGTACCATCATGCCCACCGGGCCACCCTGAATCAGATTCTGCGCCAGTACTATAGACATTTACAACACATAGATCTAAACACAGCGTTATCCACAACTCTCTAATCCCGCCTGCACAACCTCAATACCCCAGCCCCAAAATACGAGAGGTTCCATTTCCTAACCCCTCTGCAGCTGCAGATTAGCCGTAAACACCGGAGGCAACAGTGTGACACATCCAGTACGTGGTTGCAGCAGCAGCAACGGCGACAGCCATCTTGTGATGTTTGTAACAGCAAAAGTATACCACGCCAGAAACTTTTTAAACGAGACTCTGCAGCGGGCACACATGGGAGGGCCTACCAAGGTCTGCTGGCGCGAAAAGCTTAAGGTCTAAGCGTGAAGTTGGTCGTCCCCCTATATAGCCCCAATATGAACCCAAAATACGGTAATCCTTGAAGGGACCCCGATAAGGTACCTCTAATTTTGGGAAAGCCAAGCTTATTTAAACTGAGGACCAAACTCCTCAGGAGGTTCCTCTGGACAGAAAGCCTGCTGCTAATCCAGTCTTGGGATTTACGGTTTAGGGATTTTGGGCTTACAGTACCCATGGTGGGCTGCTGTGACCTTAGGCCGGAGAGGCTTTGATGCTAGAATGATAAAAGTTACTCATTTCTCCTGCTCCATATATATATATACACATATACATACAAGTATGTAGAACAATGCCCGCATGAAGCGTTGAATTCGAGGGATTCTGTGGAAAGTATGTATGCTCTGCAAGATTCAAAACTTGCCTGACTTGGGGAGAGGGGCGAGGGTCGTAAGAGAGGCCAGACTTTCTCTCTCTCTCTCTCTCTCTCTCTCTGCCTGCATGGTACCTGGCACCCTATTAGGGTTTAGGGTTTAGATCCTTAAGCGGATTGGGTCCAAGGGGGTAGGTACTGGCAAACCTTTGGGGAGTACCAGGGATGACCAATTAGAATGGATTTGGGGTCCCTGAACCTAAGCACCACAGCCTAATCTCTAAAGCCTAAACCCTATCAACTCTCAACCTACCCCTCTTGAACCGCCCACCTTAAAGATCTGAAAAATGGGCCTTCGAGTCCTCCTTCGCAAGTAGGGTCTAGGGTCTTTGACTGAAGCCAGCAAGCATTGAAATCTCACTGTTGGTACCTATGGTTTAAGGGCCAGTGGTGGGCAGAAAGCCTGCACTGCTTAGTTCTTGTTATGGGGCACCCCCCAAGATGTTGCGCCTAACTTACCGAAATCCCAATATTCAAGCCAGCTCACCCCTCAGAGCTCCATGAACACGCATTTCCCTTGACAAGTGCTATGAAAGTCAAAAGCCCCCGAAAAGCTTACCACAGTCGCTGACTTCCCGGCGCCCAAAACATTTGCACTTTTTATAATAGAGCGATACGAACGTTTAAAGTGTGCCCACACAGCTACTATGCTGCTTGTCAATGCCAATCAACACCCGAGAGCTCCTTCGACAAGAACACCAGGCAACTGCTTTCCAGATAATCCGGGACCAGAACCCTCTAGCCTAAACATGTGATTTGGCAGCTGGTAGCCTTGGACCCTGTAATAAATTGGAATAGAATTGCAAGGTAGACTCAATGTGAGTATCAGTGGCTTTCAGGGAGTGTGGTTTGGGTTTAGGGTTTCTGTAGTTTCCCAGAGGTTACCACAGGAACCAACCAGTGAAGGAATGTGCCCTACATATTCAGGTAGCCGGCAATGTGCCACAATGGTCCCTCCTCAGGTGGCCACCCCTAAGCATCGCGCAGCCCCTGAGCTCATTTCATGTTTTCATAGAAGCAGCTCGGCCTGAACCATGTGGAGGTTCCTTCAATCCACTTAAAGGTTGGTGAGTGACAGCGAGAAGCCCAACAAAGTCCAACGCACCCTGATGAAGCCACACTGCCATGTCTTTAAAAATCACCTGCCCAACTGCAGGGGCCACCTGCATCCACTCACGCGCGAGATCCATCTCACGCTTTTCCCACGGCATTGGCCTGAGATATCGTGCGACTTCAGAGGAACGGAACTTCACGTGTTTCAATTCCAATGCTTTTCAATGCTCCAGTGTTGTCGGGTGGTACTGCCTCAGGGGATATGTTTTTGTGGGTGGTGCTTCAGGTCTGTGTCATGCGGGCGAACGAAACACTGATTCTTCAGGCACCAGAACAAAGCTTGAAATATCAAGCCAGCTGCAAGTCTTCAAGCGAAAGGGAGCTGAAGGAATCTCTGAGAATTCATTCGTTTACTAATGCTCGAAGTTCTGCTGGCCCTTCTGTGCAAGTCTCGGCCTTGAGATCACCACCCTGGGTGATGGCTACTACGCTCATGCCCAGGAGCCCAATACTATGAGCATTGCCACTTCCACACCCTTCCTACACTCGTGCAAACAGCCATTGCCACCATAGTAGCAATAATGATAGCAGCGATAGTCATCGTAATGATAATTATGGTAGTAAAAATGATCTAAAACAGATTAAGTACCACCACTGCTGCCACCACTGCCGTCATGGATGCCGCCCACACGACCACACCCCAGAAACCCAGTTCCTGCAAATCCAGATGCGACAGCCAAGGCCGAGACATGTCAAAGTCTGGATCGTTTACTGGAGAGAACCTTCCCTGCCAGATTCTGTTAAAGAACTTAAATTAAGTTACTATATTTCGGAAACCCTATTATTTACTATATATACCCAATATAGTATCTTAATTTAAGTTCCTTAACAGCAACCCAGGATTTTGAGGGGTCACCCCCTGACTTCAGGTTGCTTCAAAACAGGTTTGTTCCCAACTAAGTATGGACCACGAAGCAGAAACTGTAAAAATATCAGGGTCCTCTTTGTGCTCATGATGCCACTAGTGATGGGTGGGAGGATGAGCTGCGTGCTACCCTTCTAATCAAACCAGTCAGTCGCGGGGCTTGTCTTGCGGGAACTTGCAAACGAACAACAGTCAAAATGACTTTGGAATCCAGGCATGAGATGTGCAGAAGTCTCGAAACTAGGATTTGCTTGTCTACCCTTGCCAAAGCGAGACCTCACTATCTTTCAGCAACTCCAAAGATCTGTCAAATGAATTCCGCTGCTGTCTATGGGAGAGCTTGCAGGGCATAGTCAATTATACCCAGCAGCGAGCTAGGGACGCGTGCTATGACTTTCATTTTGCCCTGCGTGTCGGCACCTAAACCAACTACCTGCACCCTAAATTGCGGATGCTCCGCGGCATCAAGAGGCCATGACCGCATCAGCAGCCAGGCGCTTTTCTGAGGCTTGAACTTGGGGGAACATGAGGAGGTCGGAGGTATGTGGGGGGAGCCTGATTTTGAGACACATCCAACTGTTGTAGCTAGTACCACGTGGCGTGTCACCCTGTTGTATTCTTTGGCAAGCTACCGGGCCTAGTATCACAACACGTTCACCCTTGAAAAATGGAAATGCACCCGGGCACACAAACCAGTTTGGGCATAGTGCCTGCGTATCGAAGCCAGTGGGCTACAAATCCTTGACCGCACTAATTATCAGACATGCCCCCCACCACCTGATATTTGATGTGACATGTGTCTGCTAACTGGTCCCACGCACATGTGGTAGTTTTCATGCACAGGGCGAAATGTAAACCCCAAACTACTTTTATCCTCATTATGGGGCCTGCGAAAAAGGTACACATAATTTTGGAAAACCTCCACGTATCGTGGACCAAATCTACGCGGGAAGGTGGTCATCAATCTCGCAGGCTGGGGCACCTGTTGTTCCTAGCCTGCTTGAAATTTTATACAATTTCAGGAGTCTAAGATTGAAAATTTACCAGAAGCTAGATTACTTGTCTGAATATACCAGCAACTATATCTTGAACTATACAACCATGACTGGGTAACAAAACCCTTAGATGGCCTCTTCTCGTTGCGCTGTCGGCGACCTGGCTAGGCCAGGCTGGCTTACCAAACACAAGCAGAAAGGCAGGTCGGAGGAGTGGGATTTAGAATTTAGGTTTTAGGGTTCAGAGTCGAGGGTTTAGGAGGAGTGGGATTTAGGATGTAGGCTTTAGGGTTCAGAGTCTAGGGTTTAGGATGCAGTCCTCTGACAAGACCAGCTATACTGAAACTTCCCCCTCCTTCGCCATCACGACCAGAATCACAATGCCCGATTCCGCGTCTCCAAGAAGGAAGGAAGGAATGGGCTTGAAACCTTACAGTGGTCGCTAGCTATATAACCCATAACACGATATTTTCTATATTCTTTTCCCTTCGCTAAACCTAAACAGCAATGTCTATTTGCTTTTCCATTCTCTAAACCCTCATCCCTAAACCCTGTGGTGCTTTTAGATTTCCTTTTCATTCCTTCATTCCCTGATACCTTTGAGCACCCCCTTTGTATTTCAGGAACTCGGAGCTTGCAGGATGTGTCTCCTTCCCCTCTCTCCCCCCGAAAAGAAAAGAGATCACCTGGAGATTTATCCGAGACCCCTGTGGCTGGGGCTTGGGGGGGACACTATGGGGGGGGGGGACGGGTCCACAGAACGCATAGCGCACAAACACATAAAAGGGTTGAGGGTTCAAGTGCGGAAAAGGTAGGCATCGTCCTCCATGGGGCTATTCTCGGAGTTGAAGACTGTGAGCTAACCCCTTGTGTTAATGAAGACTTGGGCGGGTAAATTGCGAACCCGTCATCGATGAGACTGTACCAAAACTGGTGCCCGGTAATTATAGTCCCTGTAGATAGAATATGGGGTATATGGGGATCTTATTATCATATACTCAAAGCCATATTCTACCCACTTCAGGGGGACTGTACATCTTCCACAGGCAGACCCATTCTTCCGAGCCACGGACTTCCTTTGAAAACCATAGCATCCTAAAAGGTACTGGGTGGCTTGGGCCTTAAGTTACCTCGCCTCCTTATGGAACCCCCTGTAAGGGGCGTTTAATAACTACCAGAGCTTTATGTGGTTCCATGTTAAATTGCGGAAGGGTGTGACCCTAAACCCCAAACCCTTAAACCCTGAACCTTAAACCTGACTGAGGAGTATGATCTAGTTTGGCACGTCTAGGGCCTCATGCCTCTACAATACCAACACGAGTCCCTTTACAAGTGCTCATAGGAGGCTTTATGAGGGCTAAAAAACACTGATAAGGGATGTAAGGATACTGCACCAGCAGAGGAGGGTCAAATGGAAAAGCACGTGGAAATTGCAATTTTATGCGGGTTATGTATAGACCCATAGACCCTACGGTGGCTACTACAAATCCTGCATGACCCTAGGTACCCCAAACCTTGGGAGTTGTGGTATTTTTGTATAGCAAGGTCATGCAGGATTTCCCTAACCCTAAACTCCAGTCCCCAAACCCTAAACCCTAGACTATCACATGACTCTTCCAGGGTCTGTACTTTGATGCTGGTTGAGGTTGCCAAAGCCCTCTTACTACACAAGGGGTGGGTTTGGAGAAGCCCTACAAACTCTAAACTTGGGCCATAATGGGTCTTCATTAAGGGGCTATGATAGCTCCTATTTTCCGTTGTCGTAGTAGCTGTAACTGTAAGGGGGAATGACCCAACCGTAAACCCTACTGCGACCAGAAAGCTTCGGAGCTAAACTCCGATGCCCTAAATGCTAGCCCACAAACCGTACACCCCAACTAATTCCTAAACCCTATGCGATCCCAAACCAAAAACCTAAATCCAAAACCCTAAACCGCGCACCCGGCCTTCCCATGAATTCGGCAGCCAAACCATCCACGTGTGTGGTGTACTGAGAGGGGTCCATACGACGAGCCTGCATTGAAACAACGGTACATGGGGTTTCCCCAAAATTAGGGGTCCCCATAATAAAGATGATAGGGAATTACGGCATATAAGCAGGACCCTAATCTTGGGAAACTACCAAATATAGGGGTTATAAAGGGGAGATATAGGTTTAGGGCCTGGGAAATGAAAGCTGGCCTCATACAGGGGTCAGTATAGGGCTATCAAGTAGCATGTAGTTTCGGAGGATGTTATATGATAGGTAGATAAGAATCACATGGGAATAGTATTGGTGTGCATTCAGGATCCTGCATGTACTCGAAACACACATGTCCCCCTCATTCACTCCTGTAAAAACTGTGCTCCCGTTGAAGGGCACCTCCAAGAGGGTATTGGCGTTGGGAAGCAGACCTTGAAGTCAGTATTCAGAAGGAATAGTGGGATAATTTACATGAACCTGGTCAATGTTATGATATGATTGTAACAGTTTGTGGTAAATTATAAGAGTTACATGTATTTGATGTATTGATCAATTTTGAGAATGCAGAGCTTGCGCAAGGAGCCCCCAAGTTGATAATGGGGATGTGAGGTCCGTCTATTACTGTGGCTATACGGGATGTGTAGGGGCATATAGTACTCATGAGCACTGCTCTTGCAAATGATCCTTATGGCAGTTGCTTTATTGACCGAGGGTGTTCTAATAGGACCGCGCTGAAGTGTTCGTGTGTACTGAGAAGCTGCCGCGCAGGCTATCCCTGAACCTTAAATAACCCTTTCATACTAGCTAGGAAAAGATACAAATTCTAGTCTCCCCAATGAAGCCCAAGATGACTCATCCAAAGCCATTAATAACATCCTAGCAGATATGGAGTTTCAAAGCACTAGTGGCCCTAATTTTGGAACCCCCCTAGCCAGCCGGTACCCCTCTGTTGTTGTGAGGCGTATTCCGCTCAAAACCAGCAAAACAACAAACCCCAGATTCAAATCAATAAGGAATGGTAATAAGGCCTCTGATTCCAGCTTCCTCATTCGCAACTAAGAGTATATTGGAGCAGTATGAACTATCATCACTAAGCCAGCGGAAGACCTGAATCCCCTCGGCCGACTGAAAAGAGCCTAAGAGATTAGAATAGGGCTGACAAAGGAAAATGAACTTTGCAGGGCCCTTTTTGGGGGTTCCATGTAAGCTTGGTGGAAGGTAGTGATTATTTAGGATTCTACAGGAATGGCGTACTTGACCTTGACCGGGCCTGACGACTTCGTTGCGTGTACTTCGCCGAGTACCTTACAGCCATGCGGTTTGACGTTTGGTAGGCTGTCAAAAAGTATGGTGCCTTTTTGGACCCCTATTCATTCTAATACGGCCTCGGATATGTAGGGTATCCAAGAAGGGACCACAATTTGGGCAACCCCCCCTTTCGGCATGCACATCGCGCTGCAAGCGCGGTTGTTAAACCCACCGTGTAGTCTAGATTTAAATCATGGCCCCGGTATGGGCCCTTAATCTTTGGGTTCTGAACTACCTCTTATAACTCTTATAAGAAGATTATTAGCTTATGTAGAGGACCAAATTTCTAGATCCTCCCTCCTCCAAAGCCCTAAGCCCTAAATTACTAAACCCTAAACCCTAAAACCCTTCAGCCCCGAACCCTAAAACCGTGAAACCCCTGAAGTAATCGTACTGGAGTTAGGGAAACTTAGTGCCCAGAAAAGGGGTTAAGGGTATATTGCGGGATGCTATAGGGTTATCCAAGGTTTTAGGGTCTAGGGGTATATTGTGGGATACTATAGCTAGGATAACAAAGGTGATTCTATGTCTTCTTGGTACTACTAGTAGAATTATTAAGTCCCCCGGAAACTCCAAACTATTCTAGGGATCGTGTATTAGGTTCATTATTCGCATTCACTCCCCCGCGGCCAGTACACAGGGTACCCGATATGACATACCAGTTCTCATCTCCTTTCCCACCCCACTTCCCCACACTCTAAACACTGGTTAGCATAGTAATTTCTATTGCATATCCCACTCCCCGTATCACCCTTAAGTACCATAAAACTGAACCCTTCAGCCGCAGATGTGTAAACCCTACAATACAAGACATAAACACAGTCTCTGTTTCAATTCCAAGTTTCTCGTTCGTCTGATTCCCTGTTCCTACCCAAAGCCTGAACCCTCCACCTAAACTAGTAGTTAGTACTAGTTTCCGTTTCATTTTCAAACCCTAGACACTAAACCCTAAACCCTGAAAACCCTAAACCCTAAATCCCTAAACCCTATAGATTTTCCATCCCTGCAGAGCACCAGTAAGATCAGCCAAGGCCAAGGATATACCAATTGAGCTATAGTCTGAACTTCATAAGGGGGGATTATATAGGGGATCATATGACTCCTTTGTTTACGATTTAGGGGCTATATAGGGGATTATATAGGGGACTACTATAGGGGTTATTCAGGGGGCTGCTAGTTGCATAGGTGGACCTAACAATTCAGATTCCCCGAACACAATCACCATTAAACCCCCTGATTCTGAAAACTCGTCATGTACTGCCTAGGCAACCCAAATCCCTAAACCCGTATGCAATCCCTCACGTGAGGGACCTTGAACTTGAGAAATTTGTCACTGGTTCTTAGTAAGGAATAAGGGAATCAATCCCTACATACTCGCTATATACTATATTCCTTTATTCCATACTAGCCCTAAACCCTGAACCCTAAACCCTCAAGCCCATATCAACTTACCATTACTTAGGATACCAAAATTTCCTGAATTCTAAAATTTCAAAATTTCAAAAGCTCAAAACCAGAATGACTCCCCCAAACCCTAAGTAATGTTAATGTGTCATTTTCCTTTACGAACATCAAGAAGACATTTCCTACATGAAAAGCTCGGCGCCGCACGGGTAACGAAATCGGGTTCCTGGGTTGGCGGAGCCCATCGAAGACCTGGAAGCAGAGGATGTAGGGGGAATATATGAATACATATATATATATATATATTTATGTATGTATGTATAGTTTAGGGTTTAGGGATTAGGGATATACTCTATATGTATACATATGTGTATGTAGATAGTTCAGGGTTTAGGGTTTCAGGATATACATACATATCTTATATAGTTTATTCGGGTTTGGGTATAGGGTCTACGGATATATATATATATAATATCACCATATATATATATATGTAGTTCTTATATATACATATATATATAGAGAGAGTTTAGGTTTAGGGTTTAAGGATGTATACCTAGGGGTAAAGCTCAGGGTTTACAGACGCTCCTAGCTCATCCCCGCGGATTCCGACAAACTAGGAGCCCCTTCCTGAAAAGGACTGTAAAACAAAACCGTCAACCCTACAGCCTGATCCCATGTGAGCTACAGTCTAAAC